GGTGACTCTTCCACCATTTTGGTTGCTGTCATTCCTTGAGTGGCTGGGCCCTGCCCTCTTCCCTCCTGTCTCAATAGCACAGGGAACTATATTCACTATCTTGTAGTAACCTATAATGAAAACGAATATATGTATGTATATGTATGACTGAAACACTATGCTGTACACCAGAAACTGACACAACACTGTAAGTGCACTATACTTCAATAAAAAAAAGAAAAAGGCGGTCAATTAATTCAAACAAATCATTTAAAAAAAGGCAGATAGAAAAGCTTTTTCTTTTGTCATGTTTCTCAAGCAACCCATTTTCTCTTCCCAGAGTAACCAGTATTACCAGATCTTTTGTATCCCTCCTGAGATACTTTCACTCATGCAAGCAAATATGTAGAAATCTTCCTTACCCCTCTTTTTAAAACACATATATACATTGACACCCCCTGCCCCCCGCCCTTCCTGGCTCAAGGACGTTTACTTACCTTAGAGTGGCGCCCTCAGTCTTAATCACATCTCCATCTTTCACATAAATGTACTGCTGCTCTCCATCTCCTATAATTTCCTCTCTCTTGGGATTCCGTGGGAGTTTTTTAATGCAATATGCAGTGTCTAGTCACAAAACATGTAAAAGATATTGTCACACTTTAAATGATAATTCAGCCTTTTAAGAGATCAATTTTCATACAGCTGACTTGTGAAAGGCTACAAAAACTATTAACATTTAGAGGAAATAGAAATGGGATGAATTATAGCAGCGTATCTCTGGGATGGTAACTGTTCCTTCTGTCTCAAAGACAGAGATTTTTATTCTTTTATGCCCCTCTAGGTCTCTATAAAAGCCTTTGTGTTTTTCTAGTCATTCCTATTTTATACAAAAATTTGAAAGTCACTCTTCATAATTTCAGCTAGCTTTGAGATTGAGATGGGTGTTGAAGAGGCAGGAATACAGAATCCAGGAACGTTTCTCTATTGAGATGCCTAACATATAGTAAAAAAAAAGTCATTGCATCATGCCAATAGCTAATAATAAAAGGATGATAACATAAAGTTCTTTCTGTGAATGCTGAAAAGAAGCCCCAAACCTGGGGCTAAGATATTAAACCATTAAAATAAATGTAACCCATATTACCCTCACTGACACAAAGAAAATCAATTAATTAACCAGTCAAATAGCTAACTGGCAATGATCTAACCAGTATACTAACGTACAGTAACTACAAGCACCAGGACATCAAAGTGCTGAAACACTGTGATAATTGGGGAAACAGAACACAAACAGGTAATAATTAGAGAACTACACTCGGTACCATTTAATGGATACCAAATGAACAACTGAGCTAATAAAAGCAACTGGAGTTTAGAGAAAGGAGAAACAATTAGGAAAGGATTCATAAATATGATAGAACTTGAGGTACAACTTACAGGGTGAGGAGGATTGGGAAGAATTCAGAGAAAGACCTGCAGGTAAGGGGAACAGCATTAGTAAAGGCATAGAAATGAGGACGAGTGTGGCATCTGTGCAAAACACAATGCTACCAACTTGTCTGATGCAAAACACTGGTTAGGAAGAGGGGCCTCTCAAATAAAGAGGAGAGGGGTAAATAGGATAAGCTCAGATCATGGAGGGGCTTAAGATGCCTTTCACAGAACAGAAGAATTTAAACTTCAGTGGGGGGAGGGTACAGCTCGGTGGTAGAGTGTGTACTCAGCATGTATGAGGTCCTCGGTTCAATCCTCAGTACCTCCATTAAAACAAATAAATAGATAAACAAATCTAATTACCACCCCCCCGCAAAAAGAATAAATTATTAAAATAAAAACTTTATCACACGTTGTCTACCGTGCACTCTTCAGTAAGAAAATGAAATAGTGTTAAAAGGTCAATTAGTCTGGCAGCTGTAGGTGGGGGGGTTGGGAGGGGAGTGATCAGAAAGACCAGGAGGGGATGACTGCAATAACCCAGCTAGCAGGTAACCAGGGCTAGTGTTGTATCAATGGAAATATGGAGAGAGAAAAAGACATTAGAGGAAAATTGGCAAGGCATAGAAATCTGGCTGGTAGGGGGGATAAAGGAGGTAGAAATACTGCAAATATAATAAAAACAAAATAAAATGACAGCAACTAGAACTTCCCTCTCCAGCCCCAAACTCCATTATTTTTTATCTTTGAGGCTGAAGCAAAAATAATATGCTATTCGGGGACTGACATTACAGAATAAGGCTATTTTCATTATGGAGTGAGAGAGTGAGGTTTTTTTGTTTTTATTTTTAATCTGCATAATTTTATCTGTCAGTAAAGAGGTGGAGATATTATACTTCAAGTTAAGAAATCTTTTCAAAAAAACTCACAATTATCTCAAAATTAGAAAATAAATGTCATCCTATAAAATAACTCCATTTAAGTTTTTAAAATTATATGCAAATATGAAAACACTTATCATATTCACGATAGCAACTTATATAAGTAAGATGGAGAAGGGTATGCTGAAAGCAATCATATAATAATAATAATTTTTAATAAAAGTTTATCAAGATATAATTCACAAACTATAAAATTCACCCTTTTGAAATGTACAACTCTGTGGGTATTTTTTCCAGTACAAAGACTTGTATAATTGTAATCACTGTATAACTTTTGAACATTTTCAAAACACTGTACCCAGTGGTACTCATTCCCTATTCTTACCTTCTCCCCGCCCCCTGGCAACCACTTACCTACTTTCTGTCTCTATCATATAATTATTTTATCAGAAGGAAACCCTCATTTGTTAAGGTTTAAATATTAGATTATAACATCATTGCTGATGCTAATTATTTAAGTTGATACAAACATGTAATACTGTTCCTGTATAATACTTTCCAATAAAAACACACTTTAATTGAATAGCATAGAAACAAATGTTTGACTTCTAGGACTAGAATATTAAATACATGGCAAAGGCCCAACTTCAGCTGCAAAATAATGATTATCAAATAACAAAATATATTTTGTAAGGTTTAGTCAAAAACTAACCAAAACAGAACACTTAAGCAGCCTGGGGCTGTACAGTTCTCATGTCTAGTAAAATTCTGGCTCCCTGTAAGTCACCAGGAGTTGCTAAATCATACACTGATTGTAATTTAAAATTCTGTAAGCAGGTTGCTTCGGAGTTACTGCATCTTCCCATAGAAATCTTATAAATGGCGTTCATAATTTTGGTCTGGCCTGTAAAAACACAGGTTGTTAGCGCTGTCAAGTAGTTGAAAAATTTCTGCCATACTAATAATTCAACAGTTATAAAAAATTAAACTAATAATTAAAATATGGAACAGAAATTATAAAGCAAAAAAGAACAAGAATGCTAACAATTAAGGATTTACAGAATGAAGAAACACATGGAACTTTTGCGGGGAGATTCTGACAGTTACCTCTGTATAATTTCAGTGTGGAATAACTCAAGGTTTGCATATAGCTGGTCCAGCTTCAATAAAGTTCAGAATGAAACACAACCAGCCACTTCTCAAATAAAGTACTAAAGTTTTAGTGGCTATAAAACAGTGTCAAATTTCTCCCTGATTTTCTTTAAATCAATATATTAGGTAATCTAGTATATAAGTACTGTTTTGTATGGAACCCAAAACTATTTTAATTTTTACTTTAAAAAAAGTGGGTGAGTAAAATGATTATGAATCAATAAAAAATGTAAAAAAAAAAAAAGTGGGTGAGATGTCCATTAAGAGGTGAATGGATACACAAATGGTGGCACGTTCCTACCACGGATTACTACTTCGCAGTAAGAAAGGAACAAACTACTAATGCAGGAAACATGGGTGAATCTCAAAAACACAATGCTGTGTGAAAGGACAGAGAGTGATTCTGGATCCCTATGTTACGGGCAACTTTGGAACACAGGCCAAAACTAATCTACAGTGAAATGAAGCAGATGAGTGGTTGCTGGAGGTGGAGGGGGAAATCACTGCAGGGGGGATGGGGGGGGCCTCTTTTTGGGGAGGTGAGAATGTTCTTTATCTTGACTGGAGTGATCATATACGCGTTTGCCAAACTATATACTTAAAATGGGTACATTTCATGTATGTAAATTCAGGCTCGATAAAGCTGACTTATGAAGGAGAAAAAGGGGGCCATAAACATTTTAATTTTGCAAATTGGCTCTCATGCTAAAGGAGCTGACCAAAGCTAATTAAGGAGTTTTGCCATAGGGTTTTTTTTTTTTTTTGCCGTAGTTTTTTTTCTTTAATTTTTTAGTGGGCAAGGGGAGGTAATTAGGTTTCTCTGTTTATTTTTGATGGAGGTACTGGGGATTGAACCCAGGACCTCTTACATGCTAAGCACACACTCTACTACTGAGCTATACCCTCCCCCTGCCATAGTTTTTTAATTCACAAAATTTAATGATAGACAAGAGAAAGAAAGGTGAGGAAAAGTCTGATTGATAGAGAATGATTTCCTGGGCCAGGCAGTCCCCTTGGACTGGGAGGAAGTAGGTTAGAGGGGTAGGTAGGCAGGTTTTTAGAGCGGTCAGCCTGGTGATGCTGGGTGCTGTAGCTGAGAATGTTCTGATGTCCCAATTATAGTCTCAAGAACTAGAAAGAAGGTAATTAAAAATGTTAAAAAATATTAGTTGAATGCCTATGTACATTCTTTTTGTGAATGAATGTTCTTAACCTTGTCTTGCCTGGACACGCCAAACATACCCCCATTCCAGGGTCTCTGCCTCTGCACTGCCCTCTGCCTGGGGTGCCCTCCTCTCAGACACCTGTAGGGCTCACCCCCTCTCCCTCCACCCTGGATAGAACACCAGTGATTGCCTTATGTTATAGAAGATGTGAGGCCACGTTTAGAACATGGACAGTAACAGCATCCGCCTCACAGAACTCATGAGAAGTTCTCACGCAGGGCCTGGCACACGGTGGATGCTCAGCAGTAGTTAGCCATTATGAAATCTAAAACAGTCATTGTCACACAAACTAAATAAAAACTGACCTTCATCACTGCGCAAAGGGGAGAAATAAGAGGAAAGAGTTCTGAAACAGAAAACAGGACTTTTCCTTTCCTCTGTTGTTAAAGCTGGGGACAGTATTCAAGTTATGTTCACTTCTAAAAGTACCATTTAAATATAATGTATTCAGTACATGGTTTACTAGCTTACTTAGCTCTGCTAACTGAATTAAATTATTCCCAAAACAGTTTTCTTCAATGAGCTTAATGTTTTCTGTTTACCATTATTGATGCTTTTACAAATATCTGTTATGCCTCCAGTGTGATCACGGTGCCAGTGCGTCACTATGATTTCCTGGATTGCTGTGTTGAATTCAGTTAGAGCCTGCTTTAAGCAGCTGATATATTCTGGAATTGCTGGTTCTCCAGTGTCAATGAGGATTCTCCTGAAAATTAAAAGATAATCACACAATTGGAGCACAGAGTTAATAGCAGCACATTTCTCACTCAGATAAATTACGGTACATTTAAGAAACTGCATAAATTATTTTGCTTTCAACATGCTTGAAAACCAGCTGTATCAGCTTAACTGTAATAATCTCACCTTACGAAAGCTCTTTGAAAAAACTTATAGCTAAATGTAAGCCTGAACAAGGAATATTAGCAATAATATTGAACATTTACACAGCACTTAAAAGAAATACGGCACTATTCCAAGGACTTTTCATATTTTAACAATTATATTCTTCAGAACAACCTTGCAAGGTGGGCATTTCATTCTTTTAACCAGAAATTAAGTACCTCGCTCAAGGTTACTCTGCGAGGAAATGGCAGAACCAGGTATTCTCACGCCAGATCTGCCTTCAAGATCTTTTACAGTAACTTCAACATATACAAAATCTTGTAGTAGCTCATGGTGAAAATGAATATGTGTAAATTCATGTATGACTGAAAAATTCTGCTGTACACCAGAAATTGACACAACATTGTGAACTGAGTATAACTCAATAAAAAAAATCTTTTACAGTATCTTCAAATGTCTCAAAGATATCAAAGAATCTGATTCAATGGTGTCCCTAAGGAAACCAAATCATCTGCACAATGTACAAAATGGATTCTTGATGTGTTTCATGGGCTCCTTACATCAAAGTGAAGGCAGCAGGGATGCGTGGGGAAAATGTCTGAGCTGCTTCATTTCTTTACCCAGACAACCTTATTAGTTGTACTTACGGTTCTGAACCTTCCTTTGACAGGAGAATGTGGTTAGCACACCAAGGAGGGAGCGGTCAACAGTGTAAGATAATGAAATTCAAATAAGATGGGAATGGAAAAATGCCACTGGGTTTAGTGATATAGGAGCCACCTGTGATCTTTGTGGAACAGACGGATACCAATATCAGAACCTCTTACTTGGACCCAATTAAGACTCATTGCTGATTACCCGACACCTACTTATACAGCACGGCAGTAGCATCTGTACATTAACTTATTCTAGCTCAACTGTATGGGCTCATGATCATCCTCAGCTCTCACCATTCCACTCCACGAGTTCATGTGAGTGGCAGCATAAAGCAGTACGAGACTGAAGACTGAACCTGCTCTTCCCTCAATCAGTTTCAGGTTCTCTAAGTCTTTCAGCACCAGCGCTTTGCCATGCTGAGTGTGATTCTAGTGTTTAAGGATACAGTGTTTATTTTGCATACAACATGGCCCCTAAAGTTGGCAAGCCCACTTCTTCATCTGGTTTTCAGACAGAACCAGCCATCTGTTTCATCGCTGGAAGAAAAGCAGGCTGTGTTGAACTCACTGAGAGACAGTACACTCATCTCCAACACAGTGTTTTCACGACTTTCTAGGGTAGTTTTGACTATATGCTATTTTCATCTTAGGTACTGACTTTAGAACTCGTTTAAGATGACACACTGAAGAGAGAAGAGAATACCCATGGACTTCCTGGGGTCTCAGCCAACCCAGACTCTGTGCTAGATATCAGGTGTTTTTCGTGCTTCACTTTCTATCCTCCTAGATCCTGGAGGCACCTAAAGCTCTGACCCTGCCTTGTTTACCCCGGACTTAACTTTCTGCCTGCTTGACTTGCTGTATTTCCAGTTCCCCCATCCTGCTGTTTCCAAAACTGTGATCTACTGGAAAAAGGCAAATACAGTAGATACTTCAAATGAAACCCCAATAAACTATACTTATTAAGCTGTTTTTAGTAATCAGCTGTATTTTATTAATTTTAATACGTCTCAACTGCACAATTAAATTCTGTGCTCAAGGGGAACTGAATCTTATTTTATTGCCTAGAGTATACTAAAAGACTAAGTACTATATAAAAATTGCTCAACCCACTTACTGTGCAATAAATCACATATGCCCGTTTCTGCATAATTCCACTAAAACAGAATGCAGATGAACAAGAGAAAACTCTTAGAAATACAGACAAGTTATTCCATCTGCAAAATAACTTAAGGCCACACAATAGTAACGAAAAACAGTTAGTTAGCTCCTCTCTCCCAAGGGCTAGGGGTCTCTTTTGGGTTTCACAGCAATCCTGCCCCCTGCTGCTGATTTAAGAAAAAGGCCTCGGCACACGAATCGCTTTTGCGAAAGGGAGTTATGCTCTGGGCCAAACACCAGTGAAAAACCAGCGGGTGCAAAGTAAACGCTTTCCTGGATTCGTAACTGCAGGAGATCTTAGTTTCTCAACAGCTTAATATGCTCATCTTGGCATTAACATGAAGCAAAGTAAATTGGGTCTCAAAAACAGGATTTTTTTTTTCCCTCCATCAGTCATTTGTAAGTCAGTTGACCACCTGGGGTGGTCGTGATTTAGGGGCTGTCCTGAGTCGGGGCGTCGGCCGCCGTGCGGTGCCTGGTGCTCGCGCACAGCTTCTTCGACCGCGGTGAGCAGTCGTTGCAGTCTCACCTCCGCGCGTCCTGCGGGCCGCCGCTGTGTAATCGGGGTTAAAGGGGACGTTTACCTGGGGCCGGTCCCCACCAGGTAGGTGTTGGTGCCCTGCAGGGTCATGGGACCCGGGTTACAGCCCAGCACGCGAACCACCCGACTGGACAGCCGTTCGATCCGCTGCAGTGTGGCAGCCATCTCTGTCTCTGCCGCGCAGGCGGATAGAGGGCGGAACCAGCAACAAGACCCGGGGCGGGGGCGGCGGTCACGTGACGCCGCGCGAGCGGAGCGGGAGGGGAAATAGCTAGCTGTGCTGGGGGCGGGGCCAGCGGTCACCGGACGCCACGGGGAGGGGGCGCGGAGATGGGCAGCTGTGCCGGGGCGGGGCTAGAGGTCACGTGACGCTGCCCGGGTTTCGCGGGCTGAGGCGCAAAGGAGTTCGCCCACGCGAGGCTTGAGGGGGCGTGAGGCGACGCTCGAGTTCTGTCAGCGGGCTCTATCGCCTGCCACAGAGCCTGGTACATTCTTAGGAGTTTGTGTCCAGGCAGGCGAGTTCATCCAAGTGGGCGATAGACGTTTTAACCTGGGAAGTCTTGTGATGGAGCAAAGGGCAGGCAGGTTTGGGGTTAGTCGCTGAGTTCAGTCTCCGGGAGGGTTGCTCGTCAGCTTCTCGGGTGATGGTGTGGGGTGTGTGTGAGGAGTAGCGCGCCCATCTTTCATAATAAATAGCAGTAACGAACGTTTATTTAGCGTTTACTGCTGTGCTAAGCGCTTTTTACAACCACTATCATTTATTCTAAACATTATCCCTTAGCTTTTTTTTTTGAAATTAGGATTTCCCTTGTGCTTTTCATCACCATTTCATTTAATAAATTGCCACGCTGTTCATTTAGTAGGTGAAGAAATGGGTGCAACAAATAATTTAAAATTTAAGGGACGTGAGTAGAGTCCTGCAAGGTGACATTAGACACTAGCAGAAGAGCAGGAACAGAGGGTCGTGATGAACTTGGTTTAGACAAGTAGAAACTGAGGTGATTGTGGGATATCCCTATAAAGAGATCAGTAGACAGATACGTGGGTTGAGCTGAGAAGAAAGTTCTAGGCTACAGATACAAAACTGAGTCTTTGTGAATATGTTTAGCAATATGATTTGAAGTTTAAGTTCTTCCCCAAGAAATAAGACCAATGATTTTTACATTCTGTTCAGTTACATTTACAATAATTTATCATCTACCTGTAACCTATAAGGTATTGTAGATGTATGGGGGGGTGCATTAAAATGAATAAGATGGTCAGCTTTCTAGAGGCTTATAACAGAAAGGAGTTGTACATGATCTAATATTTTAAAGCATATGTGGGTAAATCCTAGAGAAGTATAGTTAAAGTGATGGGATAGCAAGGAGGAAGGGAGAATCAAATTGATTAGGAAGATCCAGGGACGCTTAAAGTTGTGGATTTTGAGCTGATTTTTAAAGAACTGATAGAACTTTAACAGGAAATGTAGGTGAAAGGGCATTCTAGATAATAAATAACCTTGAGCAAAGGCTTGGAAATAGAACTGTAGTGTTTATTTTGGGAATAGAAACCAACAACCATATATTCTTGAGGCATAGGGTTTGAGAAGGTACACAGTTTGAAAAAAGTAGGTTTAAGTTAATGATACATTGTAAATTCTCAGTATTTCAGGAACCAGTATTTCAGGTTCAAGAATCTCTCTCCCTTTCAAACATGAATTGTCTGCTTGGATATGCTGTGTGGCAAATTGCATCTTCTTACAACTTAATTGATAATACAGTCAAAGCTTGTAACGTAGTCAACCTATAAAAGGAGCCATGTAATTCCTTCCCCAATGTGACAATTTTAAAGGGGTGTCCTGTTGTCTCAACGATACGGACTCTGTAATCACTGGATGAGAAATCGCATATATGACTAACAGGTGATTTCAGCTTCATTTTAGTTTCGATCATAAAGGTTCACACTCCCCTTATTATCCTTGCTTTCAGTGAGGAAGAAATAAAAGAGTCCCAAGATGAAGATTCTCCGGAAGGGGCTTTGAGTTAAAGAAGGCTTTTTATACTTGAACGGTAAGTCTATAACAAGTGTGTTAAATTTGATTGACAAGGGAAAGTTTGTTGGTTTGTACTTCAGGCATCTTCTTTATTGTGAAGAGATCATATGAGTTCAGCAGGCAAGGGTTGTGTATTTTGGCTGGCAGCCAAGTAGCTACACAGCTGGGCTGACCTCTGAATGTGACTGGATTGAAACTGTCCTGTTAAGTCAGTAAGTATCACGAATTCTCTATGTCAAATTTTGTAGCTGGCATTATTTCTCCTAAGGTGGTATTGATCAGTCGTAGGAATAAAGATGAACTTTCATACAAGTTATACAACTATGTGGTCACTGAAAGAGTTGCATGCCCTTTTTTTTAATGAGAGCTGCTATATTTATTACGTACTTTGCTTTGTAGTTTTCTTTCCAGTTGGCGTTATGTTCTGCTTCACTGAATTAGGAATTTAGAAGATGCCAAGTCAGATTAGTTTATTGAGTTTATTAGTTTATGTTCTGTCAATAATGCAATTTCTAAGTTTATTAGAAATTATTATTTCCAATCTTGTAAAGCTTGATCCAAAATGGCTAGTGTTTTTCTTATCCATGCCAGGTAAAGGAAGCTCCCTTTGTGGGGAGAGCAATTAAGAAATGCACACATATTGACACAACATTGTAAAATGATTATAAATCAATAAAAAAATGTTAAAAAAAGAAATGCACACATGGAGTGCTTAGTTATTATAGTCTGTAATTTTAGGGAAATTATCTATAAGGTCTACCTCGTTTTAAGACGCAAACATGCGGAGTCGGGGTGGGGGCACGGTCAGCCCTGAAACACGAGGGGCGCGCGCACAGCGAAGGCAGAGGTGGGACCCAGGCGGATACATTCAAAGACGCGTCCAACAAATAAATAAGGCAT